CACATAAGGCTCCATAGACGGGGTATATTCAAGGCACCATCTTAGCCTTTCTTGACCAAGTTCGCTCTCAAACATGTAGCGTTCGTGATCTGCCTCTTCAACTCTGTATCAATTGAAAAATAGGGTGACACGACTCCCAACCAAGGGAGCTCTTACATCTAGTATGTCCTTCCTATTTCCAACATGCTATGGTGCTCCAAGGTGGGTAGGAGCGATTGAGTCCGTATCACCGTGAAGGAATAGCAGTGTCTGAATTTACTCGGCAATTTATCTAGTGATTTCATAGTCACCAAAGAAGCCCCAGGAAGCATCAAACATTTCTTATGAGATTCATGGAGCAATTCTTAAAAAATAAAAATAAAAAATATCATAGATTTTTTTCTTAGAAATGCTGGAGTTTTTCTTCATGTCCCTTACCCACCAAAATGCCTTTTTGCATTCAGTCATGTCTTTTGCATGCAATTCTGAGAATTCATTTCTGGAAATGGATTACTTCTGGCATTGATTTCTTGTCTTTTACTGAATTGGAGGTTGGAGGGGAATTAGTCCAAATTATTGAGTTTTTTAATTCAACAAGGAGAAAGATTGGTTTTTAAATTTTCGAGACAATAGAAATTTTTATGATTTTTAAAAACTATTGGAAGGTGCTAGCATTAAATAAACAATTAAAATTGGCAGAAGATTCCTAACAGAGGAAAATAAATGGTAGTATTGCAATTATTGAACCTTAAATATCGTCAGTTAGGTACTAAATGAACAAATTTATAGGTTTAACGCATAAGAAATCAAATTATACAGTTAAATATTGAAGGTTTTTCTCGTAGTGATGAGATTGGATTAGATGGTTTATTATGTTTTGTATGGGATAATTTTGGAGGTAGAAAATAATTGGCCTTTTGTTGGAAGTTAGTAGTATGGAAGATTTTTGTAGAAATTAATTTAGTAGACAAAGTAGATATGAGAAAGGAACTTTATTAGAATGACAATGGCTTTTGCTTACAATGGGTTTTTAAGCTTGCATACAAATTAGAGACTCATGCCCTATTTATAGACCATAGCTTACATATGATTTCTTCTAGATAATTCTACACGTGTCTACAAACCTCACAAGCATTCTTGGTGCCCAAGTTTCTCTAGAGAATTCTAGATAATTCTAATTTTTTATTATTCTTGTTTGCCAAGAAATTCTAGGATATTCTTGCCAAGCAATTCTAGGATCTTCTAGAAAATTCCTAAAATATGCATCAACCATTAATACTCCTCCTTGATGCATATTTTCGTAACTCCAATCATTTTTCATAGTATTTCGAACTTTGCTCGTGGTATTGCCTTTGTAAATATATCTGCTAATTGTTCTTCAATCTTGCAATGTTTGAGCTCTATATCTTTATTTGTTTCAACTTCTCTGATGAAATGGTACTTGATGCTAATATTTTTAGTTCTGCTGTGGAATACAGGATTCTTGGCCATTGCTATTGCTAACTTGCTAGCGCAGTAGATCTCTGTTGCTTCATTTTGTAGCTCTCCCATGTCTTCAAGTATACGTTTTAACCATAGAGCTTAACTTGTTGCTATTGCATCTACAATATACTCTGCTTAAGCTGATGATTGTACAACCGTTGCTTGTTTCTTTGATGCCCAAGAGAATATTCCAGAACCTAGTATGAATGCGTAGCCTGATGTGCTCTTCATATCATATATTGATCCTGCCCAATCGCTATCAGTATACCCAAGTAGTCTTGAGTTAGGTATAAACTGATACCTTATTCCATAGTCTTTTGTTCCTTGAAGGTATCTTAGTATTCGCTTAGCGGCTCCATAGTGAACTTGACTTGGATTTTGCATGAATCTTGAAGGTAGGCTGGTTGCATACATTATGTATGGCCTTGTAGCTGTGAGATAGAGTAAACTTCTAATTAAGCTTTGAAATTGTGAACTACCCGCTTTTGGAGTACCGTCTTTTTTTCTAAGTGATTTGTTGCTATCTGGAGGCGTTGCTACTGTTTTGCAACCCTCCATCTCTTATTTAGTAGACTAGTGTTATATTTCTTTTGAGCAATGAAGATCCCATCTTCAAATTGAGCTATCTCAATCCCAATAAAATAGTGCATTAATCCCAGATCAGTCATCTCGAATGTTTTCATCATATCTTCCTTAAATTTCTTGATCATCTTCTCATAATTCCATATATAGATAAGATCATCAACATATAAAGAGATTATAAGAGTACTGCTTGTACCTTGATTTTTTATGTATAGAGTTTGTTCACTTCGGCTCCTCCTGAATCCCTGCTCAGTGAAGTAATTGTCTATTCTGTCATACCACGCTCGTGGAGCTTGTTTTAGTTCGTATAGGGCCTTCTTTAGTTTGAGAACTTTATCTTCTTTTCCTCGTACCATGTGCCCTTGAGGTTGCTCTATATAAATATCTTCTTTTTCTCGATCATTTTTATTTCTTCATCCATAGAATTACTCAATTATGGTTATTTTGAAGTTGCTTTATAGCTTTCGGGTTCAATGATCATCAAGTTGCAGCTTTGATATATTCCTGATAATCTTCGTGTCTTTCTTGGTGACTATTCTGGTGAGTCAACAGGTTCTTCTATTGTTGCTTACTTTGGTGACTCTGGTTGATTGTTCTCCTCAACGTCACCCTCCTGATTTTCTAAATGTGTAAGGATGCTGATAGCTTTTCTCTCGACTTGGTCAGTCTCCTAGTTGTAGGTGGCATCTTCATAAAATTTAACGTCTGTACGTATAACTAGTTCTTTGTTCTTAGGTTATATACTCGATAGGCTTTTGATTGATTACTATAACCTAAGAAGATTCTTTTTTTTTAAATTTTTTCATCTACTTTACCTCTTTTCTCCTGTGGAATATGTGTGTAGCAGATGTAGCCAAAAACTCTGAGATGCTTTGCTGATGGTTTTCGTCCACTCCATGCTTCCACTTGCGTTTTGTCTTGCACAGCTTTAGTTGGATATCGATTTAGTAGGTAGACCGCAGTGCTTATTGCTTCTGCATAGAAAGTTTTTGGAAGATTTTTCTCCATTAGCATAGCTCTAGCTGTCTCCATTACTGTTCTATTCTTTATTTCTGACACGCCATTTTGTTGAAGGGCGTATCCAACTGTGAGTTGATGCTCCATTCCTTCATCTTCACAAAACTAGTTAAATTCGTTTGATGTATATTGATAAATGCATTTTTATGTACTTATATAACTCACAAACATAACTAAAATATGAGCAAAGTGTATGAAATGTGACCTAAATTCGCGTGATTCTTGGATTGTAGGGTTTTCTGATGGACTTGATGGAATTCACGAGAAAAAGAAGCAAAAAAGACCAAAATGAATCAAAGTGATAGTTCAGGGACCAAAGTACAAATAACCAAAAGTTGAGCCAAAGGAGCAATCGAAAAATTTATAGTGCCAAGTACCAATTGGAGGTCAATTTGAGATGATGGAATAAAAGAGTCTAAGAAAAGAGGTCAAGAAACAAGAAGATTGAATTTGGGGACGAGAATGACACAAAAAGAAAATTTCAACCATGCGACTGCATGAAATATAGCCATGCGGCCGCACAACCCCCATCCGAGATTAAAATATAGGGAATTGATTCAACCATGCGACCGAATGGATTAACACCATGCGGCCGCATGGTGAAAAGTTATGTCGCGATTCTACAGTTTCCTTTTTGTGTTATACTTCTTTTGGAACTTGATTGGGACGCGATATAAAAACCTAGAACCCTCATATTTCGTGGCAGAACGCATTGGGAGGCAAGAAACCACATCTTGGAGAGGATTTTAAGTGGAATTAACGAAGGATTGCAAGAAGATTTATCAAGAATTCATAACTCGGTGATGCTTTTTCTTCAATTCATGATGTATTTTGATATTCTTTCCATGTTAGGCTAGATTCTCATGTATAGGAGATCGATGTACCATGTGATGAGATCTTTAAATTTCTAGTTTTACAATTTGACATTAAAACACATTTTGATTGATTGAATGATTTATATGCATTCATTTTCTTCCATAATTAAGGGCCCGTAATTGTGTGAGTTTGGGTGACTTGTTCTTGCATTCGAGAGAAGTAGAATAAGTTTGACAATATATAAATCATTGTAGGGTCTAATAGGAGATAGATCTATACCGCTATGCCCGACGTGAATCTATAATTGCTTACAAAACCGCATGCATTTTTACATATGCATTTGTCATAGAGATATAGGCCGGTGGTATGTAAAAATAGGTTCAATACATCTCGAGAGAGAGTTTCGGATAGATTTAGGAGCATTGATTCGTCAACAACTCAATTGTGTTGTCATATCGAAAAATTAGGGTTTAAGGTGATTGTTGCATGGGAAATTGTGATCGTAATACGCTCAATTTACATTAAATGCTACAAATTTACATTCTCAACATAGTTTTGCATTCTAGGTTAGAAAAAATCGTGTCTTGCATATTAATTTCACTTCAATCGTAAAAATTGCATAAATTAGGGTCAACATTCCAAATTAGGGTTTTCTTTTTGAAATTAGGGTTTATTTAGGTAAATATTCACATTGAGTAATTTTGTTTCAGTTAAGGCTACACTAGGTAAAATTGAACTACTCAATCTCTGTGGAATGATATTCGGACTCTAAAAATCTACTTTATTACTTGTTAACGAACCGCACACTTGCGGTGCTTTAAAACGAAAGAAAATATTTGGTGAACAAGTTTTTTGCGCCGTTGCCGAGGATTGAGTATTCGTTTAATTTTATCTAAATTGGCACTAATTCGAACATCCATATTTACATTTCCTGTTATTTTGTTACATTTTATTTCACTTAATTCCAGTTTGGTTTGTTCATTTTAACATCTAAGCACTCCTGTTAACTCTTCTCATAGATTTGCATGGTAAGATTTGCTGAAGGAGAATTGACACCAGCTGATCCAGAAATCGAACGAACTTTCCATCGAAGGCAGCGAGAAAACAGATAGGCACATCAACAAATGGCTAACGTGCAGAATAATCCAATTTTTCAGACCAATGAAAAAGGGGCAGCGGATGAAGGAAATATGCTCGTGGGAGATTTCATGACCCCTCAGATAACTCAAAGCCAGTCAAGCATTGTATATCCACCATTTGGACAATCAAACTTCCAACTGAAGACTAATGTGATACAATTATTTCAAAACGGTCATCAATTCTATAGAAGGACTGAAGAGAATCCACACACGAATGTTTCTCGTTTTCTAGAGATGTGCCAACACTTCAGATATCAAGGAATTTCAGACGATGCAATAAGATTAAGGTTGTTTCCACATACATTGTGTGACAAGGCAATTGAATGGCTGGATTCGCAACCAATCGCAAGCATCACCACATGGAATGATCTAGCTCACAAATTCTGCACTAAGTTTTTCCCACCTGCAAGATTGCAAAGCTCAAGCACGACATCTTTGTTTTTCGCCAAGGTGACTCGGAGAATTTTGATGAAGCCTGAAATTGGTTCAAAAAGTGTCCACACCATGGGATTAGCAAGGGACTTCAAGTCCAATACTTCTATACGGGATTACTTACTTCCAGCCTTTAAAAGCATGGTTGACTCATCATCGAACAGATTACAGTCCACAAAGACTGATGAGGCACTGAAACTTTTTAAGACTATGGCTACCACTTCAGCTATGTGGACATCGAAACTAGGAGTTCGAAAGAAAGACACCAGGGGTTTATTAAGTGGATGTTTATTCTGCCTTGTCAGCAAAAATTGATTCATTATTTCACAAGGAAGAAAACATGACATAATCAACCACCGCAGCATAGTAAAAGAAGGCTAGTTGTGAAAAATGTGGAGCTGAATATGTAACAACAGAATGTCCAATTTTGGTACAAGGAATAGAGCAGGCAGATTTTGCTCAATGGGGATAGCGGCAGCAAAAACAATACATATGGAGAAACATACAATTTAAGTTGGAGAAAGCACCAAAATTTCTCTTGGAGCAATCAAAACCAGAATAAACCGCAGGGTCAATATCAACAGCCAAAGAAAACGCCTCAATTAGAAGAGTTGTTTGGTAAATTCATGGAGAAGACTAATCAGTATATGAAAGTTAACAATCAATTCATGAGGAAAATCGAAGCCACTCTTCAAGACCAGAATGCAGCAATCAAAAATTTAGAGACTCAGATGCGCTTTGATCAATAGAGCACCCGGCAGTCTACCGAGTAACACGAAAATAAACCCGAAGGAGCATGCTTATGCAATTACAACTCAAACTGGAAAGTAGCTACTAGAAATCCATGTAAAAAGGCTAGGCGTAAATCAAAAAACAGAATCTCCAACTATAGAAGAACTGATAGAGCATGATGAACAGATGGAAGAATCCACTCCAACTGAAAAATCGGATAAAACACAGAGTAAAGCAACCGTTAACCCTCACGAACCTCCCATACCTTTTCCACAGAGACTAAAAAAGCAGAAGTTGGAGCAGTAATACAAGAAATTTCTTGGAAGTTTTTAAGAAACTCCACATTAACATCCCACTCGTAGATGCATTATTCTAGATGCCTAGCTACGCAATGTTCATGAAGGACATACTATCAAATAAATGCAAGCTAGGGGATCACGAAATAGTAATGCTAACAGAGGAATGCAGCACCAGAATTCAGAAAAAGCTCCCTCCAAAATTGAAAGGTCCAGGGAGTTTTATTGTTCCTTGCACTATTGGTGAAGTTCATTTTGATAAAGCGTTGTGTGATCTTGGTGCATGTATTAATTTAATGCCTCTATCTATTTTCAGAAAACTTAGCTTAGGAGAGGCTAACGTGACTACTATAACGCTACAGCTGGCTGACAGATTGCTAACACATCCCAGGAGAATAATTGAAGATGTGCTTGTCCAGGTGAAAAAGTTCATATTCCTTTCAGAATTCCAAATCTTGTACATGGAAGAAGACAAGGATATTCCATTGATATTAGGTACATCATTTTTAGCAACAGGAAGAGCCTTGATCGACGTTCAACATGGGCAACTGATAAGAGCATATCTCATTTAATGTTTTCAAGGCAATGAAACTACCTACAGAGACATACAGTTGTTTCCAAATCGACGTGATTGATACGGTGATCTAAGACTCCTTTTTGCTATACAACCCATCAGATGCATATGAAGCTTGCATTGCACATTCATAGTCAATGCAGTTTGATTCAATGGAGATGGAAACTTGTGTAAGGTTTATGGATACCAACCTACCTTATACGTGGAGATGGCATTTTCAGGAGCTTGGAATAGGACCTACAAAACCACTACCATCCATTCAGCAGCCACCGAAATTAGAACTCAAGTAGTTACCACCATACCTTAGATATGCTTACTTGGGAGAATCTTGTACACTCCCTATGATCATTTCAAACACAGTTAGCGAAGTGGAAGAAGAGAAATTGCTTAGGGTGCTCAGGGAGAATAAGATAGCAATTAGATGGACCATAGCATATATCAAAGGGATCAGCCCCTCACTGTGCAAGAATAAGATTCTCATGGAAGAGAATTTTTGGCCAACCATAGAAAGTCAGCGAAGGTTGAACCCAAATATGAAAAAAGTGGTCAGAGCAGAGGTACTCAAACTTCTTGATGCTAGAAACATAGACTAGCCCAATTCAGGTGGTGCCAAAGAAAGGAGGAATAACAGTAGTGCCCAATGAGAAGAATGAGTTGATACCAACCAGAACAGTCACAGGATGGAGGGTTTGCATTGATTACCACAAACTTAATGCAGCGATAAGGAAATATCACTTTTCCCTTTCGTTTATAGACCAAATGCTGGAGAGATTGGCAGGCCATTCACATTACTGCTTCCTCGACGGGTATTCGGGTTACAATCAGATACTAGTGGCACCAGACAATCAAGAGAAAACTATATTCACGTGTCCTTATGGTACTTGTGCATACTGCAGGATGCCTTTCGGCCTTTGCAACGTGCCTGCCACTTTTCAACGTTGTATGATGGCAATTTTCTCAGACATGATAGAGAAATTTATTGATATATTTATGGATGACTTCTCGATCTTTGGGTCTTCGTTTGACGAGTATTTGGAACACTTGAATATGGTATTACAAAGATGCAGAGAAACCAATTTAGTATTAAACTAGGAAAAATGCCACTTCATGGTGCAAGAGGGGATCGTACTTGGGCATCGGGTCTCAGCAAAAGGGATTGAGGTGGACAAAGCAAAGATTCAAGTTATTGAAAAGTTACCACCACCAACATCAGTTGAAGGGGTTCGCAGCTTCTTAGGACATGTTGGATTCTACAAAAGATTCATAAAGGATTTTTCAAAAATCACCAAACCCCTCTGATCCTGTTAATGAAAAACGTGCCCTTTGGATTTAATGAGAAATGTCTGACAGCTTTCAACACTTTGAAGGAGAAACTCACGTCAGCTCCGGTGATTGTAGCACCTGATTAGGAGTTACCTTTTGAGTTAATGTGCGATGCCAGTGATCATGCCGTAGGTGCAGTATTAGGGCAGCGAAAGAACAAGATTTTCCATATAATATATTACGCAAGCCGAACATTGAATGATACCCAAATCCAAATCAACTATGCGACCACTGAGAAGGAGCTCTTAGCAGTGGTCTATGCTTTTGGCAAATTCAGATCATATCTCCTGGGGTCTAAGGTCATAGTCTACAAAGATCACGCTGCATTGAAGTATCTAATGACAAAGAAGGATGCCAAGCCGAGGTTAATCCATTGGGTATTACTGTTGCAAGAATTCGTCATTGAAATTAGGGACAAGAAGGGCAGTAAAAATGTGGTAACAGATCACCTATCGAGATTAGAACAAGAATAACCGGAAGTGTTAGTGGAAATCAATGAAATTTTTTTAGATGAGCAGATATTAAGTACAAAAGAAGCCCCATGGTATGCAGATATCGTCAATTATTTGGCTAGGTCAATCCCACCACCAGATTACTCGAGTCACCAGAAGAAGAAGTTTCTTGCCGAGCTGAAATATTATTTTTGGAAGATCCTATTCTTTATAAGCGAGGGGCTGATCAGATTGTGAGAAGGTGTATACCTAAAGATGAAGTACCTGAAATTCTTGAGCATTGTCATTCATCTGCTTATGCAGGACATTTGGGGGCTTCAAAGACTGCAGCTAAGATTTTACAGTCAGGGTTCTATTGGCTTATATTGTTCAGAGACACCTTTAAATCTGTTAAGAGGTGTGATAGATGTCAAAACACTGGGAACATCTTAAGAAGGAATGAGATGCCACTGAATAGCATATTAGAAGTAAAGATATTTGGCATCTGGGGAATCGACTTTATGAGACCGTTATCCCCATCATTTTCAAATCAGTACATCCTGGTAGCAGTTGATTATGTGTCAAAATGGGTGGAGGCAGTTACATTGCCAATGAACAACGTGAAAAATGGTAATTGGGTTCTTGAAGAAATATATCTTTACTAGATATGGCACACCGTGGGCAATAATCAGTGATGGGGGCAAACATTTTTGTAATCGCCAATTTGAGCAATTATTGAGTAATTATGGGGTTAAACGTCGAGTAGCAACCCCATATCATCCACAAACCTGCGGGCAAGTCGAAGTGTCCTATCGGTAGTTGAAGAGAATATTAGCGATCACAGTAAACTCATCCCGAAAAGACTGGTCAAAAAAGTTGGATGATACATTGTGGGCATATAGGACAGCATTCAAGATACTAATAGGTATGTCTCCATTCCATCTAGTCTTTGGAAAAGTGTGCCACCTTCCACTGGGAAATAGAACATCGAGCATATTAGGTATGAAACAGTTAAACATGAATTTGAAGGCCGCCAGTGAAAAGCATTTATTGCAGTAAAATGAATTAGATGAATTCATAATGGAAGCCTATGAAGACTCAAAACTTATCAGAGAACTCACCAAAAGGTGGCATGATCTAAACATTCAGATTCGAGAGTTCGAAGTGGGGCAGAAAGTCCTGTTATATAACTCGAGGCTCAAGCTTTCCCCTAGGAAATTAAGATCAAGGTAGTCGAGCCTCTACACTGTCACTAAGGTTCTGCCATATGGAACTATACAAGGCAACCATGAAACAAAAGGAACATTCACAGTTAATGGACAAAGGCTGAAATACTACTAGGGTGGGGACTTCTCAAAACAAAAGTCCACCATCCAACTCGAAATGCCTAATTGAAGCAGAAGTGGAGGAGTCGAGCGATAGACTATAAACTAGCGCTGAGTGGGAGGCAACCCACTGTATCCTTTAATTTGTTTAATCTCCGTATGCATTAGCTTAAGAAATTTTAATTTCATGTTTGCATTAAGTCATCAATTATCCATGCATGTTGATAGAGTCTAAGCACCGTGCACTTGAATTCTTAGGCACGGAGCACATGTTCGGTAAGCTTAAAGTGGTTTTGGGTGACTGGGGGTATAATTCACGCATTTCAAGATAAAAGGACATTTTCAAATATTTAAAGTGCCAATGTATGACTGAGAGTTCACAGTAGTATTAGCACTAAGTTAAAACTCATACATGCACCAAGATGTGTAAAAAACTTAGAAAAGTTGAGGTGTTGAAAGGTCGAGTCAAAGTATCAATTGAAAATTGAAGTTGGTCGAGGTCATGGGTCCAATTTTTATAATATGCATGTTTAGGCCTTAATCTCTTAGTTTTTCCTATTGGCGAAATATATCTACTATCTTTAATGTCATATCTTGAATATTGAACACATTGTGTTATACATGCATCTAGGAGTAAGTTTGGGGGATTCGTGCATCTAAGTCAATTTTCGTGTTTTTAAATTGCCTTTTTCATTGCATTATATGGTTTTGACATTCGAAATTTTATTTTTGCAGGATGCCATCAAAAAGAACTTCAAGAAAAATCCGATTCATCCTCCGAAACTGCAAGAACTAGGGAGCTCGAAGGGAATTAATAAAGGTTCTTCAGTGCTGAAACCATTGCCCGGTATGAGAATATCATATGCCACTAGACAATGAACCTTGAAAGACTAGTTAAACTTGAAGATTTCCCAGGGTTTGAATTGGTAAATTTGGTCCATATTTGTGGTTGGGAAAAAGTGGTAGAGAGACCTCACCTAGTTTATGAGAATCTGGTCCTAGAATTCTATGCAAATTTCAACAGTGAAATTGATACCCTAGGTTTAGAGCACATACATCAGACATGGG